CTGACCTTGAGTTCATTGACAACCCGAAAGCCCGCAAGTATATCAAGTCCCTTCCATACACCCCAGGCATTCCCCTCACCAGCATGTACCCACAAGCACACCCTCTTGCCATCGACCTGTTGCAGAAGATGCTTGTCTTTGATCCCTCCAAAAGAATTAGTGTCACCGAGGCTCTGGAGCACCCGTACATGTCTCCGCTCTACGATCCGAGTGCAAACCCACCTGCTCAGGTGCCAATCGATCTTGACATAGATGAAAATCTCGGCGTAGATATGATCCGGGAAATGATGTGGCAGGAGATGATCCATTACCACCCCGAGGTCCTCACAAGAATGACCATGTGACAGCTGACAGGCAGCAATGAACATGTGGCAGAGGTCTACTGTACCAGGATCATAACATGTTCGCCTTTTTTATGAGCTTACTGTGATTACGGCATGAGTCATCACTATATGTATCAGATGGATCGTCAGGTGATCTCTTGTGTAAATATGCGCTCAATAAGATGTGTGGCAATCTCTTGTTTTTGTAGTACATGGACTACGTTGTTGTATGAGTATGTGAAGTGGAACTTGGTATTTAAGACTTGTAATTTTAGACCCAAATCTGTAATATGGAAATATCAAGGCCTTGATTCCATCTATTTGGTTTCTGAGACATGTATCGGTGCAATTTCCTGTTACATTTGTTTCCATTGACATTTTTTAGGGCTGCAGAACTGCATTATGGATATTGTTTGCCCATCTCCCATCAATTGGCACTTACAGTGACGTGTGCTGTGAAAATGGGTACTCATGCAAAGTTAGTTTCAAGTTCTCGGATGCCATTACAAGACAGCTGATTGTAGTACTGAAAAATGAAGTTCAATGAAATTTGGAATCAGGTACATGCCGGAACTGCTTTCAGTTGAAATCTTGAAATAAAGCTCATAAACTAGTGGTGTAATTTCCATGGGCGACGACGGAGGTGCAGGTGATACACATGATCAACGTTTATTGATGTACCGATGGTGTGTATTGACGGATTGAGCTGGATGATTGGACGCAGCAACCATCGTCTTCGATTCTGCTGGAGTTGTCTCAGAATGTGGATCCGTTGAAGCCAAAGTTGGATCTCTATAGCACATAGGAGTATAAGGTTAAGTGTTAGGGATACAGAATTAATCCTTATTTTATCTCAAAAAAAAGAATTAATCCTTATTAAGACATGTAAATGTAATGGTGAGCAATGGATGCTGGATCTTGAGGCAGTGTAAGCAACGTAAGGCAACTAAGCAGTGTCATGGCTGAAGCCATTCTAAACACAAAGGCACATAAACTGCAGGAAACAAAGCTCAGAGAGCACTGGACGCTGGATCTTGCTTGACACAGCCACACAGGTCAGGTGAGCTGAGGTGAAGGCTGAAGCCTTGGTAAGGTTGAGGGTAGGAGTACCTGGACGTCATCGAATTTGATGTAGAATCTGGACCTGCTGACGGAGAGCTTGGTCTCGAGGACCTCAGCGACGGCGGCGCTCAGCTTCCCGTTGACGCCGGGGCCGATGCCGCCGATGGACACGAGCTCGCCGTACGCCGCCGGCTCTTCGCTGGCCGCGAACGACATGGGCACCGACCCGTTGATCGACACCATAACATACTGCAGTGCAGCACGGCGGGGGAAACGTTTCATTCATCAGAACACTGAGCCAAACTGCCCATGCCGCTCCAGTCCAGCGACCGGGAGCCTGCATTAATAAAGAGAAGGAACGGGCGACCGAGTCATTGCGCCGAACGGGTGGAGTGCGTGACGAGACGTACCGATTCGGGCTTGCCAATGATCCTGGCGACGGCCTTGGAACAGTCCTTGAGGATGTCGGCGGCGACTACCGCGTCCACCGGCACGTTGGTGCTCAGGTTCAGCGTCGGCATCCTGCTGGCGCTGCTGCGGTGGCTCGCTCGTGGATAGGGGAAAGGGCGAGCGGGTGGAGGACGAGACGAGAAGGCTAGGAGCAAGCAGCTAGAGAAGACGGACAGGACAGACGGGCTCAGACGCCGGAGGATGGGGGCGGTGGCCCATAGGATCCTTCGGGCGGGATTACCGGGCAATGCTGGGCCTGACGCCTGAGAATGGACCTCGATGACGCCACGTCAGCCCATAACTCCATTGGCCCCAGCTCATCATGCAGCCCATAATCATGCTCGAGTGCTGAGCCCGTGTTTAGTTCCATGAATTTGGAATTTGGGGCTACTGTAGCATCTTCGTTTTTATTTGGCAATTATTGTTCAAACATGGACTAAGTAGACTTAAAACGTTCGTCTCGTAATTTCCCACCAAACTGTGCAATTAGTTTTTGTTTTCGTCTACATTTAATGCTCCATGCATGAGCCGCAAACATTCGATGTGACAGGTACTGTAGCACTTTTTGGGATTTTGGACTCCAACTAAACAGGGGCTGAAGCCCCATCACAGTACTGTACCAGGCACAAAAGAGAAGGAACAGGCACAGATTATTTGCACAGCGTTCGGACGCCCGCGTCGCACGCCTGATTTACGTGGGTTCCGCGCCAGTCCGTGTCCCGTTCCTGCTCCGTGCCCCGCACTGTGTCCCACGCCTGTTCTGTCAGGCGGCTGCTGGAGACGATGTTTAACACCATATCTACTTTTACAATATATAGAGGAAATATTTTACGTCCGAAATAGTTAAAACACTTGCAACAGATGTATGAAACACAAGGAAAACATGTGTGCAGCCATTACAAAATATATGCATCATTCAGATAAAATACTTACAACATATGTGTAAAAAATATGCAGCATCCGGATAAAATACTTACAACATAAGTGTGAAACATATGCAACACCCAGATAAAACACGTGCAACATCCGTCTGAAACAGTTGAAACATTTGGAACAGACGCTTGCAACATACGTGTATAGCCACACTTTTGCAACATCCACATGAAACACTTTGTAATATGCATATGAAACACCTGAAACAATTGAATCATACGCTTGCAACATGCGAGGAAGGAAGAGAGCGCGAGGTGTAGCCGGAGAAGCCCGCTCCGGGTCTGGCCACTCCGGATCTCGTGATGTCGCGAGCTGAGGTCGAGCGTCGCGGCGGCGGCGGCTTCGACAGCGACCACAACCTCTTGGTGGGGAACGGCGGCATCGGCAGCACCTCGGCGAGCGCGAGGGACGGGGCACGGTGCGCAGGGGCAGGGGGCAACGAGGCGGAGTGGACGTGGCGGGGGATGGAGCACGGCGTGGCTCGACGCGGGATGAGGGCGCTGCCGCGAGGCGGCCTGGGGCAGGTGGACGCGCGGTGAGCTGCGACGAGCGAAGCGAGGAGTTGGGAATTTCTGTCGGTTGTCGCAGTGTAGATGGAGTAGAGAGCGAAGAGAGCGTACATGGGCCTGTTGGGCTGGTCGCTGTGATGGAGCTAGCGTGAAGCAGAGTATCCAATTTTTTTAAGATCACGGACGTATGTTGTGTAGCATTACCGTTCATCAAGACAATGAACAAAACTTTGGCCATAACCCCAATGCCATGGGCGGACCCAGCCTGATTTAAGGTAGTCCGTGGACTACTCTAGATTTTAGCCAAAAATATTATCACTAGTTAGATTTAGAAAGTCTAAATTAAAAGTCTAACATTCTTAAGTATTTTAGTCCCCGGACTATAGCTCGTGTCGACTGGTGCTCGATTGTGCTTGGTATCCGTTAAGTTTAGATTATATCTTAGTCTCTTAGATTATACACCATATTGATTGCGAGATATCCCTAGGTTCAAATCCTGGGTCCGCCAGGCCAATGCAGAAGTCCGCAAAAGAGCATCGACAGGCAGCGTTTGACGTGAAGGGAAGACCCAGAATTTTCAGAGCAGTCTCTTCCATTCCATATGTTGTCTGAACTTACTCAAAGCGCAACTACGTATCGACTTGGTTAGTTGGTTTTGTGATCTCTTAGCTTCATGTTACAAAATCTCTTGCTGCACATATAGCACAGTACTCATACTAACTCTAGATGCACTCGGGTTCACCTTAATCTATGGATGTTAGAGTGAACCCACAGGGATTGAGGTTTATACAAGTGCATCCAAACAAGGTCTAAGAGTATCCACGAAAAATATCATGTCAATACTCGTACATAGATAAAAAGTTGAAGGAAAAAATCAAACAGAGAACTAAGTTAGAGAGTGCCCAATGCTGAGTTCATAGGCATCCTCCTCTAATTCACCATCATGGCAGAAGGCTGGTCTCTACCTTAAGGTCAATAATGAATTGCATGCAGGCAAGTATTATTTTCAAGGTTAGTGAAATTCATAGCACAATTTCATGGGCAAACGTTTAGGGTTGAAAAAGAACAGGTCAAATCCCGTTTCGACCGATATCGGTATTTTATATTATGATACCATTTCTGATCTTTATTGAATTTAGCAAAATATAAAACTAGTCATTTTCAACTTGTTTCACAACCGTTTTCGATAGTTTATTAGCTCCTGAAGTCCTGAGATTATGAACATCTGAAAGAGATTATGAACATTTGATTATTTGAAGCAGTCGATATGTTTACCTCTGTATTTAGACTTCTCTTGAACATATGAAACAATTTCTGGCATGCAAGCGATATGAAACAAACCTTTTGTTCAAAAGGTTGGACCAAAGAAGAAGAGGACACATGCACACCAAAAAGTTGCATCACTATGTTCAAAAGATCCACACTAAAGTCACTAACATAGGAGGAATGAAAAAAAATCCATATGAAACAAACCTTTTGTTCAAAAGGTTGGACCAAGTAGAAAAGGACACGCACACCAAAAAGTTGCATCACTATGTTCAAAAGATCCACAGCAACATAAGAGGAATGAAACAAAAATGCAGTGTACTAGTATTTTTTTACAACTTAGTGAACTTACAAATACATAAGTCAATGTTTTTTAATGTTGAATTGGGTTTGGAGGGTGAAGGGCTGAAGGCAACTATACACCAGGGCGAGATAGAGTAATGTTACATGCGTGGTTTTACCTTGCTATTCTGTATCCGAAAAATCCATACATTCCAATGCCTGCAAAATGATGAGAGCTGCTATGCAGATCCTTGAATTGAGAGAAACTGGAAAAGCTATTCTCTATCCTGATGGGTTCCACCCCTTTTGAAGGGCGAGGACCCAAAGTAGTTAGATCTGCTATGGAACCATAAGCCTTACACGCCTCCAGTACAGTGTCATATGACTTTGCAGGAAGCTGAAGACCTTGGTTGCAAGCCTTCATGTACATCTCATAAGCAAGTCTTGGTTTGCCATCTTGCACAAGAGCTTCAATCAACATCTGGTATGTAATTTCATTCGGCTCAATGCCCCGCATCTTCATCCTGTGAAACCACTCAAAGGCATTTCCACTCGAATTATTCCTCACGCAAGCGCTGATTATCGCATTGAAGGTGACAACGGTCGGCTCGATCCGTTTCGACAACATGTCATGAAGAACAGCATCCACCATAGCATGGTTGCCCTTGCCGATGTAAATCGACACCAGAATCGTGTATGCATAGAGGTTTGGTTTGATGCCAACCTTGCACATGTGTTCCCAGACCTTCAATGCCTCATCATATAGCTTGCCTTTATCAAGTGCACTCAGCAATGCGCCATAGGAAACCACATCTGGCTTCAACCCTTCCTCTACCATCTTCTTGAAGATATCCACCGCCGCCGATGCTTCGGAAGCCCTTGAACATGCGAGGAGAACCGCGTTCCACTCCTTGCTTCCGGGCTTCAATCCCTTCTCCTGCATCCTGTTGAGCAGCCTAACACCCCACCTCCAAATTCCCCTTCTCTTGGCAGCATCCAGCAGAATGTTGAAGTGTGACATGATCAGTTCATGAGACAGATTGTTCGGCTTCGGCCCTTTGTCCAGCAAATCCTCGTAGATCTCGAGAGCCGCCCACCATTTCTTCGCCTTGCCCATCAGCCAAATCAGGTGGTTGCAGACGGACAGGCTGATCTCGCCCCCATCGCCACCCTCACGAATCCTCTGGTACAGCTCCTTGCCAATGGCGTAATGCTCCTCCCCCGTGCACGCCCAGACGAGCCGCTCGTAGTCACTCCTCTCCGGCCGGACACCTGCCTCATCCATGGCGAGGAGGACCTTCAGCACCTGGCCAACCGGATTCTTCCCCTCGACGAGCGACCGCCGCATCGACAGGTAGCACGCCTGGACAGTCAGCTTCTCGAACTTGACGAACTCCTGCTCCCAGTCACCACGGCTCCCCACCACCAGCTCCCCGTTCCTGTACCCGCCCCTGAGCATGACGAAGAACTCGATGGCCGCGAACGCGTCCCCCGCCTTCTTGTAGGCGGACATCACCGTGGAGTAGGTCGCAGCGGTCGGCACGAGCCCGCGCTCCTGGACGTCGGCGTACACCCTGAGGACGTCCTCGACCCTGCCCTGCTGCACGTAGATCGACATCAGCGTGTTGAAGGTGACGATGTTCGGGGACACCCCCTGCGCCTCCATGTCGTCGAGGACGGCCTGGATCCGGCCGAACTCGCCGCTGCTCTTGACGGCGCCGAGGAGGCAGTTGTATACGAACTGGTTCAGTGCGGCCCCTCTCCGCTTGAGATGCTCCACGACGGCGAACGCGGCGTCCGGGCGGTTGTCCTTGCCGAGCCCCCGTATGACGCACGTGTACACCTGGAGCGGCAGGAGCCGGGCCTCGCCGCCGCTGTCGTCGTTCAAGAAGGCATTCACCAAGGACTCCACGTCGTCGGCCGTTCTAGCGTCGCGCAGCGCCGCGGCGACCGCGGCGACGTCGATGCCCACGCCTCGCCTCGCCCTGCCGCCGCCGCCGCCGGTGGCCGTGCCGCCAGCGCCGCCGGTCGCGAACTGCGAGGTTCTAGAACGGGACGCGTCACAACACTCTGAAGTCTGGAGTAAATCAAATATTCGTTTTTGTAGCGGAGCATGTACGCACAGAATGCAAGCGTGCGTACCTCGGCGGCGACCCAGCGGGAGCGGCGGCCGAGCGGCAGGCGAAGGAGGGAGGAGGCGCGCGCGTTGGCGGCCGTCCGCCGGCATCGAGAGCGTGCGAGGTGGCTGGCGGCGGTGGAGTGGAGGGCTGACAGGGAGGAAGCCATGGCGGCGGCGAGGCCGGGGCGCGGGCACTGGTGGCCTCTGAAACTGAGAGAGACGAAGGCTATCTGTTTGTGGTGCTGATTGCTGAGGAGCTGCCACGAGCGACCAGCAGCTTGTGGCTGCCGGCATCCGTGCCTCCGTGGCACTCTTGTGTCTCTTTGTCTGTTATAAACACACTTGAACGGTTAAACCTGAGCATTCGAGAGGAAAAAAGAAGTCCTTAAACCTGAGTCTTGTGGGAGAAAATACAAAGGCCTTGTTGCCGGCCGCCATGTTCTTTACGTCGCTTCGCCGCGTTGGACTCACCGCCTGGTTCCACCCGCCAGCCTTCCCCTCCCCCTTCGTCCCCCTTCTCAGCTTCTCCTTCCACTTCGGCCAAACACCGCGACGATTGTCCTCAACGTGAGCAGCCTGATCCATTATTCGCGATCTTCCCCCATGATTTTTTTTTTCTTTTTAACACTTTCTTAAACTAATTTTAAATCTAACACTGTTTTACTTTTTTTTTCCCCAAAACTAACACTTTTGGCCGCGCCTATTTCCATGGCGCGGCGAAACGCATGTGCCGCGTCATGCATGGTGGCGCGGCGGGAGGATGATGTGGCGTCGTCGTGGCAGGGTCTGCCGCGCCACCCATCTTGGCGCGGCTGTGACGCGCTAGCGCTGGTGGCGCGGCAAGGGCCAGTAAAAGCCCGCGACGCCCCCACTACGCCCGCCCTCGCCCTCGACCTCACCGCACGCCGCCGCCACCTGCACCACCGCCGCACGCCACATGCCGCCGCCACCTGCGCCGTCCCTCGCCCAGCACCGCCCCGCCAGGAGCCGTCGCCGTCGTCCGACAGCCGACCAACAGGCACTGCCACCATCGACCACCTACGCGGCCGCCACCGCGTCGCCTGCACCAGGCGCCACCATCGACCAGCAGCGCCGCCGCCTTGCCTGCGCCAGCCGCCGTTGCCGCCTCGCTAGTGTTGAGGCGCCAGCGCCGCCGCCTCACGTGCTCTACCGCCTCGCCAGCGCTGTCCAGGGTGACCCCAAAAGGTCCCCGCTCATATCAAGGTAGCTCCCTCTCTCAGTTTCTTATTATTATGAATGTTATTTTAGTTAGGGTTAGTGATTTAGGATAGTTAGGGTTAGTGATATAGTATAGTTAGGTTAGTGAATTTGTTTATTTAGGTAGGTAGTTTTTAGGATTTAGGTTGTGTGTTGTAGTATAGTTAAGGTTTGGTTAGGTAGTTAGGGTTTAGGTTACTGTTAGTTAGGACTTTTGGGTTTAGGTTACGCTATGAGAGGATACGGCGAAGACATGTACGAAGGGGAGACTTCAATGAGACCCGTGGCAGGAATCTTTGCTCTGTTTGCAAAGAACCTGGTCACAATGCTAGCAGGCATAGAAGACGAGGGCAACATGTCCATACAGAGAAGTTGTTTATTTTCCTAGTGAAGTTATTTAATATGTCTGTTAATGTTACTTTGAATATATACATGTGATTTCATATGGTGTTCGTATTGCATAACAAGTAGTTCAAATTTTGCAATGCTACATAATGTTAATTTAAATATTGTTAATTTGAATACTTTAACCCTTTATTTATCAATTTGTAACAGGATGGCCCCTTCCACGCAGCACCAGTGTACCCCCTTCTTGAGGTGAAGTACGACGAGCCGCACCGAGCACACTTCTTGACTGACACCGACGCAGAGGTGCCCTTGCCTCCTTTGAGGCCCCGCACGCACACTAGGGAGCACCAGTGGGACGAGCGTTACACGCGCGTACATACGGCGTGCCGGCTTCCTCGAGCTTGTCCGTATTATCAACTACGGTCTTCTGCCCCTTGACCCAGTACTACTTACTGTAGCTGTAGACAGGTGCGAGTGCCTTCATTGTACGTAAATATTCTTATAACAAATTTGAGGCAACTAACAGTCGTTCTATTCTTATAACAAGTGGAGGCCTGAGACCCACACGTTCCACCTACCTTGCGGCGAGATGACCTTGACCATGTAGGACGTGAAGGCTATCTTTGGCCTTCGATTGGGAGGACTTCCAGTGACAGGTATAGTTGATATAGTTGACAACGATCACTGGAGGGAGCTGGTGGCTCAGTTCACAGGCTTTCTTCCACCGGACGGCGAGGTTTCCAAGAAAAATAAGTGAGCAATTCAAGCCTATTTAATACTTGCATTGCTTTTCTGCAGCCATCGGGTCTCATTTTCTTTGGTGAATTTTAGGAAAAGTTCCAGTGTTTCATCGTCGTGGATCACAGAGTGCTTTGATTACTTGGACCCATAGGCTGATGAGCCTCAGATCGATAGGTTCGCTAGAGTGTGGCTCTAGCACTTTCTTGGTGCTTTCCTATTCCCAGACGCCTCACCATCAGCTGGATCATTCTTGACATACTACGCCAGCCGTGGGATAACATAGCGGTATACAGCTGGGGCAGTGCAGTTCTGGCATGGACGTATCGACAGCTATGCATTGCCTGCCGTCGCACCTCAGGGTATGTGAACCTTGGAGGTTGCTCCTACCTACTTCAGGTTTGGTGTTGGGAACGATGGCCCGTTGGGAGGCCTCTTATTACTGGTTTACCGATAAGTACTTCGGTTCACTATATTCTTTGAGGCAGTTACATATGATGAAATTATTAATGGCTAATTCATTATCGTGTTCAATACAACATTGGAACGGGCAGGATACACTCCCTACAGCTCTGTATATCTGGACGCAAGTAGAGTTAGTTAGAGGGAATGCGAGGCGCAAGTACAGAGAGTACACGGACTGTCTCGACGTCCTGACACAGCACCAGGTTACGCTCTCTTTACTATCATACATGTGTCTTGTTCGATGTACACTATATCACAACCTAACTCAATTATGAAATATTCAGGTGCATTGGTGTCCTTGGGATGCTCCGGAGCTCCAATACTATCTGAGCCCTGTCACTACGGATGAGTCAGACGAGTATCGCTGCAACATCCCTCTTATTTCCTTCCACGTGGTCGAGATTCACTTGCCCATCAGGGTTTGCGGGTAGTTTGGAAGAATGACAAGCTACCCACCACCGCTTTACTCCACCAACCAAGAATTGCATGGGTGCGTTATCGATTAATAACAAAGCTATAATTCAGAGGTGTGTATGGTACAACTAACAATCGTTTTGTTGTAGATATGACCGTAGGAAGAGGTACAAGACCAAGGATTGATGCGTGACACAACACGTACATCCAGTTGTGGCAAAATAGGGACTGGCAGCTGGTCGATGCGGGTCCCCCACACGACCAGCACACCTTCGACGAGTACCTGCGGTGGCTTCACAGGTCTAGAGGACACATATCAAGCCCCTGTACATTGTGGAGGCGATTGACGAGGACGACGAGGAAGATGTGATCGAAGATATGTACGACGTTGCCACTAGGGACGACACACAACTATAGAGAGCCCCGCTTCAAAGATACGTGGTAAGATACTCGAATGGTATAATTTGTTATCCATTTGGTATTAAGTATGTGTACTAAAACTATCCAACCGCGTTTCTGTACCCAGGCGACACAATTGTCAAGGCTGTCCAACGAAGCAGCGTTTCGGCTTCACGAGTCTAGAGGGCATGGGCCAGGCATTCTCGAGGCTTTTGTGGAGGTAAACATAAACTTATCCGTTCCAAAAATGTTTCTTTAGTGTATATACGTTTGGGAAATGCACTAACTTTAACGTCTATTTATGCAGAAGGTGAAGTGGAGCTGCAGGAAGCTAGCTCAGAAGTTGAGCTGCATGGACACTCCTTAGGTGGAACCCGATTACCCGGCGTGGTCGGGTGGCATGTCTTCTGGCTCTTTGAGGACACCAGCCGGCTCTTCTCAGCCAGTGATAGGTGCCGCTTTCGTAGTGCGTACACCACCACATCATAGCGCTAGGAAGGACCCTGTAAACGAGGAAGACGAGGACGACGATGACGACGACGACAACCCCCCGGGCTTCAGCATACAACACCATCAGTGGGACGATTGGCAGCAGGACGAGATCGGCATGTGTCAGCTCGGTGTTGCCCCGTTTGGTACCCAAGGAGCCTCATAGGTAGTAACAAAGGTAATTTCTTTAAATACGTAGGCTCCATAAACTAACGATCATAAAGATTATAAGTAATCATGCATATCATATACTTGCAGGGTATGAGCCGTACGCACCGGCAACGCGACCACACCGACGTTGGCTACACTCCTAATGTGTTGCCTACAAATCAGAAGAGACAGAGGTGTCCGAGGGATCCTTATACTCCTGAGACTTAGTTGGTTATGTCGAACGAATATTGTCGTCCGAAACTTGCAGACTCATGAACCAATGAAAATGTTATATGGTAACTTATCAACTTGCGCACGAACTCCATTTATTTGCTTCATATTCGTTTCAATGCGTCATGGCAGCACTGCCAGCGAGATTAACTAGCAACTAGTTCGGGAACTGGCAGTCCCGGCGTATCTCGCCGCCGGTGGCCGGTGTCTTGACCCCGATCCTCCCGAGCTTGGTCATCGTCACCACAAAATCGCCGAAGAAGGCACCCTAGTTGGACGCGTAGTAGTCGATCGTGCTGCGCGACCTCATGTCAGAGTAGAGCACCTGGTCGGAGCCTAGGAGGCCCTTGCCGATCTGTAGGTTCGGGTAGAAGGCATTGTCGAAGCCCATCGGCGAGGGGTCGAGGAAGGCGAAGGCGTTGGGGTCAGAGCTGCAGGTGTCGTTCAACTGCGACGCGAAGCCAGGGTCCATGGTCGCGTCGCTGCCGATCCTCACCGACAGCAGCAATTACAATTGAGGCCGGTCTTCTATTTGCGCCCAGGTCCTGCCGCGCCGTGGGCCTTGGCTCGTCAGTGCCGCACCATGGTCTATGGCGCGGCAGACCCGGCCACGTCATCGGTCAGCGCCCTGGTCATCACCACGTCATCCTCCCGCCGCGCCACCATGCATGGCGCGGCACAGGCGTTTCGCCGCTGAAAGCTCTAGTTTGGTTTT